TCCAATTTTGCTAGATTCATACTTCAGATAGTCCATGTTCTGGTTATTAATGGATATTTGCAGCTGTTCTTCTTCATTTTGAGCTGTGCCGCATCAGCAAATGAAGGCCCCAAAAGCTTTACTTCGCTCACATCATCACAGTCAACCCTACTTTGAGGAGGCAGCTCTTCCCCAGCCAGGTTTTGAGTACCTTCCAATTCTGAGGGGCTCATCTTCTGACACACTATAGATCTGGTAATGTTTTACTGTTATTCATAATGCTTTCATCTCCTGGTAATATATTTGGCAATGTACCACTGCTGTTCATAAGGTTTTCAATGGCTAAAACGTTCAGAAGTTGTCGGCCTCTCTTTCTTGCTAGTCTGGAAGCTCAGCTTAAATCTGCTGTCCACCATGGGTGACTCTTCTGGTATTTAAAATACTAGTGGCATAACTTCCAACATCACAGCAACACACAAGTCACCACAGTGTGACAAATTGACAGAGGAGAGGTGGTATTAAAGATTAGCAGGAGATTAAACAAGAAAAAAATATCTGTGTATATATGCTATACACAGAACACATTGGTTTCATAGGATAAACTCTAGCCTTCTAACCATAGGTTGGCAGTTCAAGGCCAACAGCAGCTCTGCAGAAGAAAGATGAGGCTTTCTGCTCCCTAACAGATTTACAGCCTCAGAAATCCTATCCAGGGTCACTGTAGGTCGGAAACAACTCCACGGCACTTGACAACAACAACAACAATATGCTCTACGTGAATGATATATATAAAACCAAAAGCACACAGCCTGCTGCCATCACATCAATTCTGACTCATAGTAACCCTACAGATACGGTAGAACTACCCCAAGTTCTACCCCTGTGCCATCAGGGTTTGCTTAAATGAAATGCCAAAAAAAATCCAGCTGCCCACTTTTGACAACAGCAAAAAGATGGAGACAGCCTAAGTGCCCATCAATAGCAGAAAGGATACACAGATTTTGGTACATACACACAATGGAATTCTATGCAACCTTGAAGAATAATGTAGCTGAAAAATACCTCATAACATGGATGACCCTTGAGGACATTATGCTGGATGATATTAGTCAATCACAAAAGGGCAACTATTACACGAGACCATTTTTGTAAAAGTTTAGGGAAAGATTTCCATACCAAAAGAAGCATTCTTTGATAGCTACCAGGAGTGGGAGGGAGGGGAGAATAATTCACAAAATAGAGGGTAGAGAGGTGATGACAATATACAAGGTGACAGTGTGAACAATATACAAGGAGAAGGAGGACAATACACAAGAAAGGGGAAGGTGGCATATATACAATGAAGACAAGGGAAGACTTGGGCCAAATGGCTAAATACTGAAGCATATACAACCTGGGAACATCAGGGCTCTGTGATACAAAAATTGAGACATAGTCAGAATGGATAAAGGGGGAAAAATGTTTAAGGGCTGACAGTCTTGTGGTATTGGTTTCCCTTGCCTACTTTTGTAAAAAGGACATTTAAGTGTGATTGAAATGAATGTTGGGAATTAAGATTAGAGAAAGCTTGTAAAACTGTCTTCAGCCTCTAACTGATTAGATTAGCTAAAAGGGGAATTAGAACTCACTCAGGGAAATAGCCTTCCCGTTAAGCCTTTGTGGAGTACTGGGCCTTAGATGGAATCCTGAGCTCCACCCAGAACCTTCTGAAGTAGAACATTCCCACTTGAAAAAAAAGCATGCAGACCAACTCCGAATGACTAGAAGAACAGAAGATACTTGTTGAAAGACTAGTAGAAAAAAAAAGCAGACTTGTTGTCTGTTAGAATATCCAGCAAGCTGTTTGCCTGGGTGCCATCAAGGCAAGAAAAGTCAGCCCATCAAAAGAAACCCCCTTCTAAGACTGAAACTCAAAGGGAACCCACGAGCAGTCTTGCATGCTCATTGGTGACCGCTCATTGGTGACCTGGTCTACTTGTGAGTGGAAATGGGGGAAATACAGCAATGAAGACATGGGCTAAATTTAGCCATATTTCATAGACACCTGCTGACCTTGAGATGGGAAAGAAAAGAGGAAGGGCTGGCTCCTCGTCCAAAGTTTAGGGAGATGTGTGAACTCCCGACCCAATGGACACTGACCTAACCACTGGAAGCTAGAGCTGAGAATGGAGTGGCCACTTGGTCTGAAAAATGTGGGGAAGCATGTGAGAACTCCCAAATGAGCAGATAATACCCATTTGATCTAGCTTGGATGGCTCGCTGACCAGAACCCAATCAGATGAAGATAAAGAAGTTTGATACTGTAAAGCAAGTGTAAATTGCCACAATTTGATAAACTGGACCTTTGTTATGAAGTTGCTAAAAATTTCAAAACCGAAATGGACGGATTCTTCATATCAAGAATCAAGCTTGTTTCCTCAGTACACTGGGTTTATAAGGACAGGCAACTTAGTCATTCGCTATCAAAAATGGGGGGCTGTAAAGGCACAAAGTGACTGGCTTACAAGCTTTCATGAGTGTACTTAGTTTCAGAACGTGGAGGGTAAGGTAGATCCCCCACTGAATCTTCTCCATCTAGATCTGGAGAAAGGGGTTGGGAGATGATGGTGACAGGATTTTATGATTCAATTGTGACTGTTATCAGGATTAATTGCAATCATCAAAACTGTAATGGTAGAATTTGTGCAACTAAAGGGGAGGAGTAGTTAATCTTTAATTTCAGGAACAGAGGACCCCTGGACCATCAAGAAGGAAAAGCATGAGTAGAGCATGAGATCCTACCCAGAAAAGCAGCAACAGCAGAGATGGTGGCAGAGGTGATATGGCACAGAGAGATAGAGCAGCTGAGGACTCGAGGTCCATGGACTGACAAAGGCTGTCTGCCTGCAGGCAGGAGGCTGGCTTACAAAATGTGCCCTTTGGACATTGAAATAAAAATATATTTTTTGTTTTGTATGCGTACATCAAATATCTTTGTTTGTTCGTTTGGGAAAAATAAAATGTTAAAGGTAAGTCACATGGTGGAAGCATGGTAACTCTTGTTACACAGGGGTGTGTAATCAATGAAACGAAGCAAAACGTATGACTGTTTGAAAGTAAAAAAAAAAAAAAAAAAAGCAAAGATGTGGGGGGAAGGTAAATTACAGATGTATGTGGGGGGAGAGAAATTATTCATAGGACAGAGGGTGGACACATGTCAACACGGGCGTCAGGGCAGGCAGCATACAAAGAAGAAGAAGCAAGGATGAAGGGAGTGGGAGACACAGAGGAATGTAATATTAAAGTCAATAGAGGCAAATACTATTAACTATAACTACATGGAAGACACTGCAGTCATTCTAATGAGCAGAGTAAATGATTCATTGAATGTAAAACTAAAGATCTGCTCTATAAACCTTCACCCAATTCCCAATGAAAAGTTAAAAAAAAAAAAAAAATCCAGCTGCCCCACAGGGTTTCCAAGGCTGCAAATATTTATGGAAACAGACCGCCATATCTGTCTCCCACAAAGAGACTAGTGGGTTCCAATGGCTAATATTTCAGTTAACAGTTGAGCATTATACCACCAGGGCTCTATTTTATATATATATTTACTATATATTAATATACAGTAAAGCTCTGGACTATGAACCAGAATGTCGACGAGTCAAGCCCACCAGCTGCTCTTTGGGAGAAAGGTAAGACTTACTGTTCCTGTGAAGATTTAGTCTCAGAAACAGGATCACTATATATTAATATACATGTGTATATAAATGTTGTTGTTAAGATGCCGTCTTGTTGGTTCCGACCCATAGTGACCCTGTATAGGGTTTCCAAGGAGCAGTTGGTGAGTTTGAACTGCCAACCTTGCAGTTCAAGTGCCTTTGCAGTCTGGGGCATTAACCCACAGCGCCACACACACATATGTAATTAATATATAGTAAATCAAATCACACCAAAATTCTGATGGCTATTAATTGTGTAGAAGAGAAAAGAACAGATCATGTGTAGGATTTGACAGGCACACACCTTGTCTGGGGATAACAGGGGAGGGGAAAGATAGACTTTTCTATAGTTCATCTCTTTATATTTTTAATAATACACAAGAAGAATGTATTCCTGTACTACTTGTGTTCTTCAAAAGCAAGTCAGTGCATGCATTTACATCATATAATTATCTAAGATCTATTTCTATTTCTCCCCTTAGCTTATTTGAGCATCTACTTTACACAGAGATGGTTTGCTGAAACTGGCTTTTCTTCTCTTCCACCTGACATTGGCTCAATCACATAATTTATCTGGAGTTCGTATTTCTAATTTATAAATTAAGGGTATTGAGCAAGTTGGTCTCTAAAGACCCTCCCAGCATGGACACGCCGATTCTAGTATTGCTGCCTGTTCTGGATCCAATCGTGTCCCTCTAAAATATGTGTCATAATTTCTAATCCCTATGTTGTTGTTAAATGCCATCGAGTTGGTTCCTGCTTATAGCGACCCTGGATAGGGTTTCTGAGTTTGAACTACCGACTTTCTGTTTCAAACCGACCTTGTGGTAGAGTTCCTACCCTATCCTTATACCTGTGGTTATAATCCCTTTGTGACTGAGGTTTCTTTGTTATGTTCAAGGGTCTTATCAGTGTTGGTTGTGTTCCATGCCAATCACCTTTGAGACATCAAAATACAGATTAGGACAGAGAAACCAGAAAGCACAGCTGGGAGAAAATAAGATGCCATACCACAGGAAGACCACCAAGGAACCAAGCAGTCAAGGAGACAAAGAACAAGGACCTTCTCCTAGAGAAGACAGAGAGAGGAAGGCTTCCCCTATAGATGGCAGTCTAAATTTGACTTCCAGTCTCCAAACTGTGAGAGAACATATTTCTGTTTGTTAAAAGCCCTTTAACTTATGGTATTTCTATGACAGCAGCACTAGATAGCTAAGAGCCCTTAGTGTTCTGAAATGCTGGGATGTCCTCCTACGTTAAGGGTGAGGTGTCTCTTTCCAGAGAAAGACACCAGAATATAACATTCCACATTCTTACCTGAAATCCACGATTTCAACTGAGGTAAAATAGCGGCTCAGCGATGATGAAGAGCTGTACACATCTGTGAGCTAAAATACACAGCAGCAAATAAAACACATACATGTTACTGATGGATTGATTACAGTGCACATCACCTGAAAACATAAAACGACTCTTAGACAAATGCCACTCCAGCTAGAAATTAACTCTATGTCAAGAAGCAATCTACCTGAAACCAAGACTGAAGTTAACATGCATATCAAAGAAGCCAATAGGGACCCAGCAATAAGGCTAGGTTTTATCAATGTCTTTTTCCTGGAGCAAAGCACAGAGTGGAGCTAGTCTACAATTGCACAGATATGGTGGTATTTTATGTATGAAAAAATACTGGCATTGAAATAATGATATCTGTGTTCCTAGTACCTTGATTTTATACCTTCACACTTTGCCATAAATAATTCCAGTTCTTTAAGAGACAAAATAAAGCTAACACTACTCCTAAACACTATTCCATTTATTTTCCTTCCCTTTCCTAGTAGTACAGTAATCATTATTCTAAAGGCAGCATGTATAATTTCTATATATGTTTATAAATTAATTACGCAAAATTACCAACAAATACATTTTTATTCAAATAAAAGATACCATATTATAACAGTCTTTAATAAGTTGCTTTTTTTATCATTCAAAATTGCATTTGAGATTTATCCATATTGGTACATTTAGAGGTAGGTCATTCAGTCTAAGTGCTGCATAGATTCCATTCAACGATGTTACCAACATAGCCATTTCCCTCCTCATGAACATGTAACTTATTTCCAATTTTTCCCTATTTGAAAGTATGCTAAAGTAATCATCCATGGCACTGTGGGATAAAGCACTCGACCAAAAAGTTGGTTTGAACTGCAAGGTTGGTGGTTCAAACTCGCTAGCTGCTCCTCGGAAACCCTATACAAGGTCTCTATGAATCAAAGCCAACTCAACGGCACTTAACAACAACAATCATCCACAGATGTTTCTGTGCATTTCTTCTTGCACAGGTAAGAGCTTTCCTTCAGCATACACCAAGAAAAGGCATTTCTGGATCCAAGGGTAAAGTACATGTATCTTCAACTTAACTGTCAGTACTTGTTGCCATTGAATGGACTTCAATTTAACTAAATATTGCTAAATTGTTCTCCATTTAGCAATATGACTGGCTAGCTGACCAACTGCCAATGGAGTCAACTCCAATTCCTGTGTAGAACTGTGTACCATAAAGTTTTCAATGGCTGAATTTCAGAAGCAGATTGCCGGGTCTGTTTATTACAAGAAACTTTTGTGTGGATCTGAACCTGCAACCTTACAGTTAGCAACTGAAGAGCTAAACATTAGCTTCATCCAGGGACTCGATCCATCAGCAATGTACATTGCTGCTGTTGTTGTTGTCGTGCAAAACTGAGCCAGTTCTGACTCATAGCAATCCTGTACAGAGCTTTTGAGGCTGTAAATCTTTATGGGAGCAGACAGCCTCATCTTCTTTTCCTTGGAGTGGCTGGTGGGTTCTAACTGCTGACCTTGTAGTTAGCAGCTCAACACATAACTCACTATGCCACCAGGGCAATGTATAAATGTGTTCTATTTCCTACATCCTTGCCAATACTAACAGTTAATCATTTAAAACTTTTTATTAATTAATGTGGTAGCTAGAAAATGGTGTTTTGAGTCATTCTAATTTGTACTATCTTTCATAGAGAAGTTGAACATAATAAACAAAGAGTTTATTAACTCTTTGGGATTTCTCATCTCTGAGTTGCCTACTAGTTTCCTTTCTTTCTCTTGGGCTTTCTGTCTATTTTCTTATTTTTTGGAGTAGTTTTATACTCTTGGCACTAGCATCCATTTTATGTTACAAATAATTTCTCTTGGGCTTTCCTCATGTTTCACAGGTGAGATGTGAAGCCTAACCTAGGGATGTTTCAGGACCTGCAGAGGGATTCCAGGAACTCATTTACATTGTTTTTGTTTTAATTTACATTTGAAGGTTAAATGCCTTGTTCTCTAACAGATCTGGTCTAGTACTAACCAGGAGGACAGCTATATGGTGACATCAGAAGGAAGACAGCTGTGGGGGTCTGTCTGAGAGCACTCTGGCCTCAGCCTGAAACCTCAGCCTTTATGTCATTGTGGAAAGCTCTTTGGCATTCACTAGTACCTTGAATTGAAATAGGTGTGCCCAAAAGCAAACATTGCAGCTTAGTGCTTTATTACCTTATTAATAGAAAGCGATAGAACATGCCAAAAATGGCAGAGCCCTGAGAAGAGTTCTGTCCAGCCTGTCTCCCAACTAGTTCTAAAGGAGGCCCAGCTTCCATAATTCACTTAGGAGGTATTTCAGTCTCTCAAAGATGAGGACAGGGTATGAGAGCGTTACTGTCTGTATTCATGCTATCTTCTCTTTCCTGCTATAATCTTTACAAGACTCTAACAGAGCAGGCATTAATATCGCTCTTGTTTTACTAATAAAGGACATGCGAATTAGACAGATTAAAGAATTTGCTCAAGGTTATTTGGATAGCAAGTTGTTGTTGTCAAATGCCAAGTCAATTCCAAACCATAGTGTTTTCAACCTGCTGGTGAGCTTGAACCACCGATCGTGTGGTTCAAACTGACTTTTCAATCCAGCACATTAGCCCACAGCACTACACCAGGACTCCCACTAACAAGTGGTGAAGTCAAAATTCAGTATCAGGTTTTGTTTGTTGTTATTGTTGTTGTTAAGTGACAGCAACCTTGTATAGAGTTTCAGAGGACCAGTTGGTGGGTTTGAACCACTAACCTTGTGGTTAACAGCCCAGTGCTTATCCTAAAATGCCATATTCTTCTTCTTGCTGTCGAGTCGGTTAAAACTCATGGTGCTGGTGTGCCAAGAACTCAGTTCCGACTCATAGAGCGCCTGTACGAGGTTTCCGAGGCTGTAAATCTTTACAAGAGCAGAAAGCCTTGTCTTTCTCCCACAGAACAGCTGGTAGTTTCGAACTGCTGACCTTGAGGTTAGCAGCCCAACTTGTAAGCAATACGCTACCATAGTTCCTTTTACAACTCATAGAGACTCGTATAGGGTTTCCAATGAGCAACTGGTGGGTTTGAACTGCTGGCTTGTGGTTCACAGTCCAGTGCTTATCCTATAACACCATACCAGGAATCTTAACTGCTGTTAAGTAAGACCCTAATGCATGGTGATGCATGCACATGAGACAAAATGCCCAGGCATGCACCATCCCTACAATTGGTTGTAAATTGACTTGTGGTCCACAGAGTTTTCATTGGCTGATTTTGAGAAGTAGATCACCAGACCTTTTTTTCTGAATCTTAGTCTGAGAGCTCCACGGAATCCTGTTCAGCATTATAACAACACATAAGCCTTTAATGACAGGTAAGGTAGCCACACATGAGATGAATTCGGCAGACATCAAATGTAGGTCTCCCGAATGGAAGGTGAGAATACTACCACTGACCACCCCGGCCCGTTACTCCAGGTCTTATGGACAACAAAACCCAGCCTCATCACTCTCACTGCACTCTCCAGCGAACACAAAACAATGAGGGAAATGTCTTCTGAAAATCAGGGAGAAAATAAACATGAAGTGCTAAAAGATTTGGGAGAAATATATCCACTTATTATAGTTCTTGAAGCATAGGCCGTTAGCCATACAGAAAACTAAGAAAGGACTTGGAAAGTAGACTTCCCAGGGCTGCTCCGAATGGCAGGGAGAAGAACATGGATGTTAAAAGGGGGAGCTTTTTAAAATGCTAAATAATAAGAACAAGAAAATAAATAATGTCTTTCATTTGGAATGAGTTTACTATGGCAGAAACTACCTCAGTCCTTCTCCCTCCTTTCCTTCTTTTCTTGCTTTATTTTTAAGACTTAGTACGAGGAAAATGCTCAGAAAAATTTTAAACCTAGCCAATTGAGAAATACTAAGAGGAAGTGGTACGTTAGATAAGATGGGGTGACTGTTCTAAGATTCTTTATTGGTGTTATGGTCCCTGATATGATTAGGGCATATTTACATATTTGGGATCTATTCATCATACTTTACACTCAAGAAGATGAAATTATGGATGTTGTGGTTGGGGAATCCTTTTATTGCTTGCTTTGGTGTCTCCACACACTGCCTAGAGGGTGCAAGGAGCCCAAAATGCCAATAAAAATACAGTTTGTCATAGTGTAGTAGCTTGCACATTGCTGTGATGCTGGAAACTATACTACAGGTATTTCAAATACCAGTATGGTCACCCACAGTGGACAGGTTTCAGCTGAGCTTCCAGATGAAGAGAGGCAATGAAGAAGGAGAGACAGACTACTTCCAAATATTTAGTCACTGAAAACCTTATAAACAGCAGTGAAACACTGTCAGCACCAGATTATTGAATACTGAAACATGACGATGATGTTGCTGTGATTCTGGAAGCTATGCCACAGGTATTTTAAATACCAGCAGGGTCACCCACAGTGGACAGGTTTCAGATAAGCTTCCAGACAAAGACAGACTAGGAAGAAGGAGAGAATGACTACCTCCAAATATTTAGTCACTGAAAACCTTATGAATAGCAGTGGAACAATGTCACCACCAGTATACTGAATATTGAAACATGATGAAGACCACCAAACTGTTATCAAATCGAGTGCCAGAAGTTAAGGCCCTCAGATTGGAAAGCATTCAAAACGCAACTAGGAAAGAGGTGCCTCCTCAAAGTAGAGTTGACCATGATGAGGGGAATGGAGTAAAGCCTTCGCGACCTTCATTTGCTGATGGGAAACAACACAAAATTAAGAGAAACAGCTGTAAACATCCATTAATAATCCAACATGGAATGCACCAAGTATGAATCTAGGAAAA